ATTTTTTATTTCTTAGAAGCTGTGCATGGCTCCAGAAGCCGTGTTTGATGGCCTCCACATAGCATCCCCGTGTCCCTGGCCCTCGGGGGTCGCCCACCCCACGCCGGCTCCTCACGCAGCGTGGCAGCTCCCACTCTTGGGCAGTTGCTGTCTTTGCAGCTGCTCCCAGTTTGGCTTTTTATTTTCACTTCCCCAGATGCCATGGTTTTGGCTGGGATGCCAGCCCAGCCTCCCTGGAGCACTGCTGGCAGAGCCGGCGGCGAGTCTGCCCGTGCCCTGGGAGTGCAGGACTCAGCCCTGAGTGGCGGGGAGCGGGTGGCAGATGGGGACCCCGGGGTGTTTTCGGGTGGAGGTGCAGCACGTGCCAGCCCCGGGGTGCAGAGGCTGCAGCCGCGGAGCGTGGCACGCAGGCGTGAGAAGGGCTCTCGGAGATGCTGCTGGGAGGAGGAACTGTGCAGAAGGCAAGGCACAGGTAGATCAGCTTGCAAACAAATGTCTTCTGGCGCTGCCCTTGCCAGCCCTCGCTGTTCCGTGATGTTTGCACGGCGTTTACATCAGGCAGGTACTGGGAGGTGGGCCTGATCCAGCAGGCAGCGGGGATGGACAGATGGACAGAGCCCCCGGGGTGATGTGGGCCTGGGGCCCCCCCAGTTCAGCGTGTGCTTGCCATGCACTCAGGTCAGTGACCTGCAGATATTTCACAGGGGCACGGGAGGTGCTGGGGGCCGAGCAGGAGGCGTCACCCTCCCTGCCCCTGCCCTGACAGGCGCCAGACCCACACCTCGCACCGGGGGGGTGTGGAGGCACCTCCCGGGACCCCACACAGGTCCCTGGGTGAGCAAGTGCCACCGGCTCCTCTGTCCCATCCCCACCGCCCACTTTTGCCAGGGCTAGACAGCTTAAAATACTGCAGACGTCCTGCTGCCCTGATTGAATGGCGGTCGGGCTGGCGGCTCCCTTCAGCCTGGGCGCTCTGCCTGAGCCTTGTTGATACGATGGCTGGAGAAAAACATCATGTGAGAGCGGCCTGCGCCTCCTCCCGCCCCGGCATTCCTGCTGGGAGGAGGCCGAGGCGCCCGCCTGCCCCCGGCTCTGCGGGCGCGTTCGCCAGCCGGGCACGCGTGAGGCTGACGGCAGCGTGCGGGGCCGCTGCTCCGGGCTCTGCTGCCCCGAGGGTGCTGGTTAGTGGCAGCGGGGACACGGGTGGGGAGCGTGTCCGTGCCTGGCTGAAGAGCAGGCCTCAGGAGCCCCAGGAGCGATTTTAATAAGTTTTAGCAGGATTCTGGTAAAACCCTACCAGCGTGCTGGTACAGCATTTCAGGATGCTGCCAGCGTGCTCAGTTTCCACTTCTGCGAGTCTACTTGCCTTATCTAATATTCATTCTTTTATGACTGCAAAACCAGCAAAGGATTCTGAAGAGGTTCAGAGAGATGAAAATCTGGTTTAGACTTTGTTGGCTGAAGTTACCAGATTCTAGCGAAAAGGTAATTAAGCAGCTTCTTGCTCGCAGTGTAAAGGAGATGAATGCAGTCCGAATTCTTGGTTGAGACTTTTGACAGGGTTCTCAGACTTCAGTTTCTGATTCCTGGGCGCTCTGTGGACCATTTCTGAAGGTCCATGGAATATTAGAAAGACAAGAAACCCTGTTCCCAATCAGAGAAGTCTGCATTTATTTTGGACAATTTGATAGAATCTGAAAATTCAGAAAGGTTGAAATGCTGCCCTAGACTCCAAGACATCATACAAACATGATGTAAACTTCCAGGTAGCAGGTGATGGTAACTGAGCATGAGCACAGTTTAGCTGGGAACGAGGTATATTCTTGCAGTCTTTAACTCAGGGTAAATTGTCTGTCTTAAAGATCAGCTGCTAAGCGAGTGGAAATGATGGCCTTGATGGGGAAGCAGCGGAGGGCTCCTTGTTTCCCAGGAGCCCCAGGACATCTCCTTAGGTCACTGGAGGGGTGTCTTCTGGCCTTGAAGCATTTGAGTCTGTGAAGTTCGTTAAGTGCTCGGGATGTACAACACGTACTGCCAGACTCTGGATCCGGTCTGGAGCAGCCTAAACCCCACCACTGAAATAGGGACATAGAGTTTAATCTGCCTTTCGAAATCAGGTTTGTTAATTGCTCCTCTCTGATTCCAGCAACACATGTTGTAGTTTCATGTTACTCATTTAGCAGTAATTAAGTCTGATTTTTACACTCCACTAATGTAAGAGATCATCTTCCAGGCAGCTAGTAAATGTGTAATTTTGCCCCGTGTTACTTAGTGGTAGCAACAGTTAATATGGGTTTTAGTATCAAGAGAAAAATTGCCATAAATAAAGCTGTTGGGAAGCGCTTGCCTTTTACCTGCCAGGTCATGTCACTGCGAAATGCTTCGGGGGGGTGGGGGGTGCTGAAATGAGGTTGGTTTATTTGTGCAAAACAGCCTAAAGGCTGAGCGGTGTTGTCAGTGCGGCGCTGCCCGAGGGCGCGGCGGGGCGGTGGGTGTCTGTCCCGGGCGGTGGGTGTCTGTCCTGGGCGGTGGGTGTCTGTCCCGGGCGGAGGGCAGCTGCACAGCTCCCGCTGGGGTCCCGCCGGCCCAGCCCTGGTGGTGGGTGCTGGTGTGGGTCCCCCCGGCCACGGCCGGGTGCAGCCGCACCGGGCGGTGCTGGAGGTGGAGCAGCACCCGGCACATGCCTAGATACACGTATAGGTACGGATATATATGTTCACACGTTTGTGTGTACATGCACACATAGAAAAACACTGTCTCAGTAGTACAGCGGCTAAAATTTGTGCACTGTAAACACCAATTCCTGTTGCCACCATCAGTTTGTCTTTTTTATGAATCGTTAATGGTTGTTACTGAGGTATCCTGATCCTTATTTGCAGTAGGAAACTCCATTCCCCTGTCAAAATATTTTCTCAGGCTGCGCGTGTTTCCCCCCGTCTTATCTGTAGCACAGTTGTGCTTCTGGCTTTTGTGCATCCTCTGGCCCTGCCTCGGTCGGTTCGGAGCTGGGGAGATTGGCTCGCGGGGCTTCGCCGTTCCCTTCCGCGTGTCCGCTCCGCCGAGGACAGCCCGTGGCACCCCCAGTCCTGGGGGCTGCCGCGGGGAGGGCAGAGGGCCCAGGGGAGCCCCCCGGCTCCTGCCACGGCCTGGAAGGCCGGCGGCTGCAGCCCCAGGCCTGGCCAGGGAACTGTTCCTCTGCGCCTTCCCACGGGGCCGCGGCGGCTGCGTGGGGCTGGACGGCGTGGTGTGACAGCAGGTGTGCTCCAGCCAGGGCAGCGTGCGTGGGGATCGGGCACGGGGGCGCGGGGAGGTGAACTTGCGTTGCTGTTGGTGGCAGGAGCCGTCCTCACACCCGTAGGGCTTTCTGTGGTCTTGGTGTGTAGCCTGAGGAGACCCACAGAGCGCGTGTGTGTGCGTCAGGTCTGTCTCCCGCGCAGGGATCGCTCGGATGTCAGTGGAATAATGGCGAAAATGAGTTTTAAGACTGCCGGCAGGAGAGATGGGCTGGGAGGGGGACACCAGCAAACTGTTTATCCCAGCCTTAAGGGGAGACAAAGTCATCACACAAATTAGACTTCTGGCAGATCTTGTAACAAGAATACATCGTGAATTTCTGAGCAAAATTGCAGTATAAGGTCAAACTGTATTGAATTAACGTTTCACGATAAAAAAGGTTTCTTACATAAATTAAGGCTGTCTTTTGCCTTGTCACTGTTCCTGTTTGGATTTATTTCAAAGATGAATGAGTAAAGGAAAAAAAATGTAATTTAAGGAATCTTTTTTCCCAGACAAGGATTCAATTTTTCTTTTTAGTTGTTTGGGGTTTTTTTTATTGTTACCATTGCTTTAGTGAAAGTAGGGCTCCAGTGTTACAATTTTAAAGAGCAGTTAGGGTGTCAAGCTTCTCCATTAATGAATTTGCATTTCCTGGAGCCTCCTGGCATGCGAATCCCAGCTCATGAGAAGGGGGGTTCTCCTCCCCGACCTTCCTCTGCGGCACAGTGTGTCTGGGCGGGCGCGCACGCAGCGCCCATCGCTCCGCCTGGGCCTCGTGTTCTAGAGGTTTTTACAGCGGGGGCACAGCTGGGGGGACCTGGGGCTAGTTTTCAGAAGTGACCACTGTACCCAGCTGCCCGTGGCCCTGGGACGCCGCGGGCGGGGGCGCACCAAGAGGGTTGTTGTACGTGTGAAGCTGGTTCACTTGGTCACGGGGAGGTACAGTGGGGTTGGATCTAGAATCCTTACACGTAGAATTACTTTTTATTCTTTCTTGCTGTGGGTGGTTGTCAAATTGATGAATGCCCTTTCATCCAAATAAAATTAGTGCATGAAATTTGTTGTTTACCGCATCTGAATTTAATGAAAAATTCAGTAACGAGTCAATCCCAATTTTCTTGTTTGCTTTGCTCAACTACAATAAAAATGCATCATACGTGAGAGGTTTTCTCCAAAGAGGCTGTACTCTAGCTCAGTGGAAGTGCAGAATGCTGGTGCTGGTTTCCTGGCGTTAACAGTACTTGGGCCACGCGTCCTGCTGTGCGCTCGGCGCTGTGCGTGCTGCTGAGCCTTCAGCATTTTCCGGGTGGCCCTCGAGCCTTCATGGGCTCACCCTGGAGCCAGACCGTGTTCCTTTCGCTGGCTTTCGGGCTCTGCCGCTTCCCGGAGGCAGGTCTGGGCCGTGCCGAGTCCCCGTGGGTGCAGCTTCCCCTGAGCAAAAACATGTGTCCAAAGAGGGTGGGCAGGCTGGGCTACGGGAACAACTGGTGTAAGCTGCCTCCAGCAAACTTTTAAAAGAAAGAGTGGGGTTTAGAGTTATACTGCAGAAATACATAGTTTAGAAAAGCAAAGCAAGCAGCTGATACAGCCTGCCAGGTTGCCCTGGTCAGCATGATGGCCTGGAGGAGCAGCTGGGGGGTTCCTCCGAGGTCTCTTTGTTTCAGCCGATGGCGCGAGGAGACGCCTGCAGCTTCTAACCCAGTTGTGCCGGTTCTCTTCTTCAGGGTCGATGTTCAAGGGAAAACTGCAAATACCTTCACCCGCCACCGCACTTAAAAACGCAGCTGGAGATAAATGGACGCAATAACCTGATTCAGCAGAAGAATATGGCCATGCTGGCCCAGCAGATGCAGCTCGCCAACGCCATGATGCCCGGAGCCCCCTTACAGCCTGTGGTACGTGCGCTTCTGGGCTTGGCTCAGTGAGTACAGGGACTTGGGCCTGGAGGAGTTAGCAGGGACTCACACGCTGGAAAAGCCCCCAGGCCTCGCTAACTGCTGGAGAAATCAAACACGATCAGTGCTGGTCTGTATGTCTTCACACTGCTTCGTGCTCCCTTGCTTGCAGTAATACTGCTCATTTAATTAATCCGGTTAATCTTTTGTTAATGGAATGCATTTTTTGCTACATATTTCTTAAAATTAAGAAAGGGAATGACCTCCTTTACCATCTCATTTTTATAAATAGATGTTTCCCTTGCAATTTCTTGCGCTCTAGGAAGTTCCTGGGTTTGAGAAGGTTCCCACTGGATGTTTCCCGTTCACTCAGGGGAAGCTTCCCAGGGAATTTACTTGCTGGAACTGGACTTTGGTTTTCACAGCACATCATCAGGCAGAGCAGAAAGCTTGCCCTGGGTGATGTACGGCTCCTGTCAGCCAGACCTGCAGGATCCACAGCTCGGCTTTGGCAGGAAGCAGTACAGATAATCACACTTTCTGCAGAAAGCCAAGGGGTGGGAGAAGGAGAATCTGTCAGAACCTCTCATCTGGTCGTGGTGAAGTGTGATCGCGTGTTACATCATACCGGTTCCTCCTGTGCCGTAGTAAGCAGGCGCAGCACCGCGTTCCACATTGTCGAATGCCGTGGCTGAGTTTCTTGCTTCGTTTCAGCAAATGTAACAGGGATTGGCACCAGCCCACCATGTACATATGCATTTGGGAGCTGAACGCCCTGTGCCAGATCCAGAGAGGTGAGCTGAGCTGACCTTTGGGTAAATTTGGCTCAGAACCCTTTTGATATAAATTTCTAGCTCAGACATTAGAGGGTACTGATTAATGTATGAGTGAGACTGGCGCTGTTTAATGTATGAGCATGGCTGATACGTTCTGCATAAAAAGGCAAACAATGCTCCCTGGCTGAATCTCTCTTTCAGTGGGTAAAATGGCAGAAAAGGAGAACAGAAGTTGAAAAATACATATAAAATAAATATATCTGCATTAGCACTTCTCTGACAGTTCTTTTACTCCTTTCTTGCTGGCATGGGTAGAGTTTAGGGAGTTTAATTTACCTCTAGATATCTTCCATTAGGAAAGCTATATTCACTGTTAGATGAGTTCTTCAGCTTTTATTTCAGAAAACACAGTGACAGTTAATACTCTTCAAAATATAGCTGAATCCTTAGGAAAAGTCATCTCAGCAGAAAGGACTCTCGTGCTTGGGCCAAATGGTTGTTTGGCCCCACCTTTTGTGGGTCTGCAGAATACCAGTAAATATTTTGTAGCTTACTTGATTCAGTTAATACAACTGTTTCTCTCCCACAGAGCTTTATGCCTCGGCTGTTTCAAGAAAAAGTGTATGTAGGGGAGAAAAGCAGAAAACGTTGTGGTCGGATTGTCACAGTAAATTGACTTTAGTGCCTGTTAGCACAGCAAGATACCGCACTTTGTTTTCTGCCTTTTGATTGGCTTTTCTTTAAATAAAATCCCCGGTGGCACGGGGGCAAGGCGAGGAGCTGAGGCAGCGGCAGTGCTGGCCTCGGGGCCCGGAGCTGCGCCCCACAGCTCCCGGCTCCCCTCCGGCGGCCGCAGCTCCCGCGTGGCGCTCGGACCCCAAGCAGGTCTGCGGGTCTGTACAGCCAGGCGGCTCGCAGGCAGGCTGGATTTTACGTGCTGTAACTCCAGAGCCACCTCAGAAGGATTTTTCAGTTTCAGCAGCTCAAAACAGACGTGTGCACAGGCCACAATTTTATTTTTATTTCCTGATTTGAGTACAGTGGTACAGCATTAGTGCCAGCAAATTCATATTTGTGACTAAGAGAAAGCTTAAATCAAAATGCAGCCAACAGCAAGAACCATTGCTTAAAATATTCTTCCCTGTTAACCTGTTTGTCTGTTTGTTTCATGAATTGTAGCCAAATACGCTCTCAGGTTTATACAAAGCAGTGTGTAGGCACACACCAACATTTGGGTAAACATGAAAAAAATACTAATGCAGTCCTTTGGATTAACGTTTGCTTTAATATAAAGAGAGGCTAGTGTGAGGGTAACATTTAAATCAAATTTAAATTCTCCTTTATGCTACACTCCCACTGTCCCTAATGAGCAAAATGTAAGTCATTATATTCTGAAGTGCAGCACAAACCTCCTGCCCGTGCCTGGGCCATTTCTGCGTGCATCGCTTCAGTTCAGACCCCACAGACTCTGCATTTTCAGAATTCAGTTCCCTTCAATACGAGGATTCACAGCAAGGGCCAGTGGCTGTCCCAGCAATAATGTTTCCAAATGGATTTCATCCTACTAATTTGGCCTTAAAATTACTTCATTTTTTAGCCCAGTTGAAATGGATGTTATTTCAGGGTGTTCTAGCAAGTGATTTTTATCTTCCCATCTAGCGATGCTTCAGTCAGTTTGTTTTGGTTTACAAAAATCAATACCCTATGCTTTAATAAAAGTAAGTGAACTAACTTAATGAGAGACTCTGATTTAGTAAGTAAAGCAGTAGGATCCTTTCACTCATATTTCTGTTTGATAAATATTTTAATTATCTTAGTTGCAAGTAATGGACTTCTCCCATCTTCCCCTTTTAGTCCACTCTTCTATCTGTCTTTAGCTGGCACTTGATTTCAGATGGTGAGTGGGGCTGTGTGTCCTGCTGCCTCAAGCACTGAGATCCTGAGGAAGAGCTCAGCCTGCTCGGGTCAGCTCTGCCCTCCTCGCTTCTGAGCCAGTGTGGGGCAGTTGGGCTCAGCTAGACCACGGCACTGGTTGGCATCGGCTGGTACCAGGGCATCAGTGGGTGATGCTGTGCTGTTTCACAGTAGCGATGTCAGACCCTGGATTTGCCTTTTCCAAGTCACATTTTGTATGAAAAGCACTAATTAGAAGCGGGAAGTTGTAAATGCAAGACCAGAAGAGCAGAGATGGATGGTGAAGGTGGCTGGAGACTGGGGGTGCCTTCCTCAGGAGCACGGGGAGCCCCGAGGCTGCTGTGTGCCCAGGCCTGAGCCGCGGGGCCGTTCGTGGGGCGTGCAGTGCCACAGAGGGGATCTGCTGGGCGCTGCGGGTACAAACCTGCAGCAGATCGAGGCCCCAGACCTTCCTGCGGGGTGTTTGTCCTTCAGGAGCAGCTGCGGGCCCTCGGTGGATGCGGTACCCGCCTGCGCTTTCCTCAGCGTCCAGGTGCTGGGTCAGTGACTGCGAAAAGATGTGTTCTATGGGTCCGGCTCCTGCCCGGTGGGCAGCTGATACTTTGGGGCTGGGGCACTGGCAGAGAGCCCGCCTGTCAGTCTGTCTGTCTGTCTGTCCCGAGAGGAGCCGTGGCCCCGTTGTGTTGCAGAGGCCGGTTTCCAAAGGTGCCCCTGTGCCTCCTTGCCAGTGGATGGAGCCCGGTAGGGAGCAGTGCCCCGGAAAGGCAGAGCCGCGGGGGTCAGCGCTGCGCCTCAGGGTCACGGTGCTGGTGCACGGGCGGTTTTAGAGCAGAATTATTCAGTAGAGGAGACAACGTGGGTTAGGGAGCATCTGGCAGCACGGAGCTGCGTCCAGGGCTGTGTCCTCCTTCACCCCTGTTCTCTCTGCTGATTACAGGAGCTGTGTATTTATTTTTTTTTTGCTGTTCTGCATGAGGCACAGCATGGTAGGGCCCGAACGGCAAGGCCAGTCGGTAGTTGTATGGTTTGGTCATGGCGATAGAGAAATACTTCCTCTGCTTCTAGAGACGGGGAAGTGAAAGCTCGCTGGGAAACAGTGAACAGCAGAGAGCAGCCCAGCAGCTCGGGCTGACCTGTCCCTCCTCCTGCGTGGCATCGAGGTCCCAGTTCTGACCAGTTTGCAGTTACGGGAGAGCCCGGGCTGAGCCTGGGCTGATGCTCACGGGTGGCAGGGGGTGCTTGGGGTGACCCTCAGGGCAGAGCCCGCTCCTGCCCGAGCCTTGGGGCAGTGCTGGGGTGGCTGGGGATGGTCCCTGCGAGCCCCAGGCTGTGCCACGCGTCCTCCGAGGCCTCCGCGCTGCCAGGAACCTGTCTGGGGTGCAGGAGTGTTGGGGTTTGTGCCCTGGCAGGCTCCTGCTCCCGCTGCGTGCTGCCCAGGAGCACGGCTCAGAGCCTGGGCTAATACCACTGCAGGGCAGGTTTTTATCTCCTCACAGCACATCCGCTTTCAGAATAGGATGAAGCGGCTTTGACAAAATGTGCCAGTATTTTGCAGGGATCTAAAGGCCTCAGGATATTTATATTAGTACAAAATTATCTCAGCAGAAAATAAATGGGATAGTCTTTTATTTACTGTACAGTGAGTATATTGGGCTGAAATCAAACATTGCTATCTCTTAAGTTACACACTAACAGACTGGTTTGTAGTTTTATTTTTAATGTTCTTTATTACATAGCTGATAACACAGTAATGAAAAGTGCAGTTAATTAATACTGTATTTAAGAGTAATATTTTACTTCCTGTAAAATCTTCCTGGTCTTCATTCACATGGATGAAAAACCAGAGATGTTAAATTACTCCCATTTACACAACTTTCAGCAACTTTCAGTCTTTTTTTCTTCAGTAATCTCTGCATGTGTTTTTGTCCAGTGTTTCAGATGGACTTGTTCCTCACTTCCAAACGGTTCAGTCATTTCCTCAGGAATACAAAAACATGGGGGGTTATATGCTGTCTGGCTTAAATAGATATGAAACAGAGAAAAGAGTTGTGTTAACTTTGTAGTTGTTTTTCCCTCTAAAAAATAGTTTGGGAGAAAAATCTGAATGCCTTGAGTAACTGCTTTATTTAGATACTAAACGCTCCAGACTGAATTTTATTTGGCGATTACACTGGTCGCGCAGTGCCTTCGCATTCAGTGGGGCAGAGGAGTTATTTAATCTTTACTGCAGTGTAACAGCTCCACATTTGGTCTTACAGCATTATTTGTTCTTCTACATCCAATTATCTTCACAACATGTGATAAGCCCACAAGGGCATCTGACTCTTTCTTTTTTTAAAACAAGCAAACAAACAAACAAAATGGTATTTGCATGCTCACTCTCTCTCTGGCTCAGTGTTTTAGTCTAAACAAAGCCTATCCTTGATGCAGTGTATTTCTGTCTGAATATCTGCATGGACAGCCTGTTTAATTTTGTAAAAATAAATGATTATGGTTGTCTGGTTTTGTTCCTGTGTTAATCCTCTGTAATTTCTGAACCAGTGCTGGCTGTCATCAGGGTCAGAAAGGTGTTTTATCTGTGTCTGAAGTTGCGTGTGGTGTGACGGTCTGTCGGGGCTCTCATGCAGGTGCCTTTTTCCCCAGGAGTGGGTGTTCAGACACCTTTTGGACGTGCCCCCGCCCCCCCCAAAGACCTTGGACTTGCTCCTGTGGCCGTGAGGTTACGGTGGAGTTGCTCAAGGGCGGATCAGATGAGAGTATGCTCGAGAGCTGCGGTGGCACGGGGGAGGCTGGGGCAGGAGGACCAGGGGGGCTGGCGGGCGATGCCTGCCCTTATGGACTCACTCATGTGTGACGTTTGCGCGGGTGTTCTCGTGTTCTTCCACAGACACGACAAATGCCTCTTTCCCACTAGTAACAGAAACTCACTGCCATCGTGCTTCGTGGTGACAGCCAAAAAGTTACTATGCTGACGACATAGCAAGTATAAATATTTAAAGTGACGTTCTTCTTTTCTCTGATTGCAGCCGATGTTTTCTGTCGCACCGAGCTTAGCCACCAACGCATCAGCCGCCTTCAACCCCTACCTGGGGCCCGTGTCCCCGGGCCTGGTCCCAGCGGAGATCCTGCCCACCGCCCCCATGCTGGTGACAGGGAACCCCGGTGTCCCGGTTCCTGCCGCTGCCGCCGCCGCTGCCCAGAAGCTGATGAGGACAGACAGGCTGGAGGTAGGAGCCAGTGTGTGTAACTTAGTCTCATGAGTTGTATTATTTATTATGTCTCCAAGATATAAAATATTTTTCTTGAGAAAGAAAATAATTCAGGTTTCACTTCAGCTGATAGAGTCGTATCTGGGTGACCGGCAAGGATGGGTGATCATACAATAAGTTAGTGCTTGGGGTTCTGCTGCTGACAATCCGTTGGAGAAAGAAACAGAAATATGGAGCCCTTTTAGGAACAACCATGGCAGCAGCAAGAGCGCCTCGAAACTGTGTCAGTGTGTGCCCAGAGGGTGTCGGCTGAGGGGTGCGTGGGCAGCGGGAGCAGGCGCAGGGGCAGGGGCAGGGCTGCCTGGGTGGGAGCTGGCGCTCAGCCTCTCCTCCTGTCGCTGCGCACAGATGGTGCCGGCGCTCCCGCGCCCGGCTTATCAGCCTCGCTACAACCCTGACAAGTGTTGGTGCTCTCGAGCTGGTAACTCTCCCTTGCCCTGAATCTTTCTTATCTGAAAGGCCTGAGAGTGTTTTCGGCACCTTATTGGCGCTGCGGCGGCGTGGGCAGCGAGCCACTGCCGTGCCGTGCCGCCGGCTGCTGACGCTTGGAGCGCGGCCTCGAGCGGGTGTTCGCGGCCCCGCTCAGGTCCGGCGGTTAGAAGGTGGTGATGGGGGAGGCTGAGCAGGCGGGGTGATCCGCTGTCCCCCCGTTTCCCTGGTGGACATGGCGGTGTGTCGGCTCTCCCTGCACGTGGTGCTGCTCTCCCCACCCGGCGCTGCGCGGCAGCTCTGC